CCCTTCTTCTCTGCTCTCTCCCTCCCTCTTCATATTGCCAACCTACGACAAACCTTACATGAGCATCCATCTTTGCATGGCGCCAGTCGGTGTTTTGCCAAAGAGCAGGCGCCGTAAGCAAAGGTAGATAACATTGTGTATGTTAAAGTTGGAAAAGCGGATGCAATAGGAGAAATATTGGACGCCAGATTAGGTGTAGCCAATCCAGCCGGTGGTCATTTAAGACTTAAAGGCCGCACATTCTGGCACAGTTCTATCCTTGGCGTTTATCAATCTCATCATTGGAAATCCTTATCTGAATTTAGGGTTTTTGCTGCACCATTTGTAAAATCTTGAGTGCTTTTTTGGGTAGTTGCTGAAACTGTCTCCACTCTCACATGGTGGGTCCCTCTGAAGAAATGAACACTGCTACTATCATACACAGCGGGGGTATTCTTATCCAACTATTAAAAGACAAATTAGTCAGCTAATTAATCTCCCAACCTCTCCATCGGGAGGCAATCTAGCTTATCCTGGTTTGTATTGGCACAAAGTAAGATGCTGCAAAAGTTTTAGTCAGACCGAAGGCTATCACATTGCCGCATGGTGCATATTTCACCCTGATTAGAATGCGGATGGTAAAAGTTGGCTCGTTAAGGAATTACGTTTAGGTGTTAGTCGCAACGCCAATCCACATTCCTCAAAAAATGCGTATGGACATGCACATTCTAGTTCTCTCATGAGATGTCAACTCACGTCCAGAAGAAAGGATGGTGCAGCAATTAGTCGTCTCGAGCATTGTGCTAGTAATCTATGGATATTACATTCGATCACATCATATTATTGTCTTCTCTAATATGATTTTTTTCAATGCAATGCTATTGCCAAAAATGCACCCTTATTTTATGAAGCTCAGACACAGTGGCAGCCTGTCTACAATATAAAGCGTGCTAGAGCCGGTATTTGGCTTTGCAGGCATAAGTGCCTGATACTTAAAGCTGGAATTACCTTGGTTGTAGGGAAAGAGACGGAGGAAGT